TACATTCCTAGAATCAATTAAACAAGCATCCTCAGCCCTTAGTATGTGTCCAGCACTGTGCTAAGCAATAGGGACACAAAGAAAGGCCCAGAATTGGAAAGAACCTCAGAGGCCACCTTCACTGCTTGACTTCTCATTCTCTTTATCAACTTTATGCCAGTAACTTCCACTTCCATTTTCCTCTCAGCACTTAGCCCCAGGCTGGGCACAGAATAAGTAAGCTCCTTGAGGGCAGAGATTGTTTTGCTTCTTACTTTGTATCTCCAGCACTGAGCACAGTTACCACATTAACCACTCTCAAAGGCTTTAAGTTGCTGAGTATATGCTGATCCGAGAGAATCCTTACTGGGAGTTCCTTCCACAAGCAAAGTCACAGGTTCGATTCCCACCACCACCACACACCCCAAAAAATGTGCCAGGCATTTTGCTGGGAGTACAAAGACAAAAATGAAACTATTTCTGTCCTCTTACATTCAAATAGAATTTTACAGATGGATATTCTGAGGCCCCAAGCAGGGAAATGATTTGCCCAAGGTAATCCAGGTAAGAAAGCAGAGAGATGGGCTTCTTAGCCAGGTCTCCTGACTTCACATACAGTAGCACTCTCTCTACCATACAGCCCTGCCTCAGCTCCCAGGGAGGGGTTCAGGTTTCAAGTTGTCTCCAAAAGGTGACAGACTCCAGAGGAGTCTGAGCTGATTTCTCTCTCCTCCCGCCCTCTATTTCACACTTCCCTTTGTCTCACCTTCAGAGGAGCCAATTAGCTCCTCAGTGTTCTTTGGGCGTTCATATTTAACCTGCGTCTAACTCTGTGCTCCCAAATAAGAAATGCCGTCTCTGCCCCAAACTGGCATCTCACAACACACCAACACATGCTGTCAGAAATAGCAGTATGACACATGAACACATCTCTATTCCCTCTCAAGACAACTTAAGCTCAGAAATATGGATCTGCAACTATCTTGCATTCAGACGCAGTGTCTCATCAGAGCAAGAGCTGAGCGTACCCCCTTCCATTAAAACAGACAATCACTTATGGTGGGAAACAACAGATTTCCCAAGACAAAAATATTTACTTCAATACACTTTCCACCAGCAATAAAACAAAGAACTTTTTCTGGGCATTCTCCAGATCCAGTTTCCGATGGGCATTTGTGAGCACTGCTATGGTAGGGTTTTTAACCAAGCCAGGAAGGACTAGAGGCTCTCAGAGGTCCCTTAAAGTTCTAATATTCTACCTGTCCATCAGATGGGTAAGATCCTGGAGCTGTCCTCCTGTCCTCTGGAATCTTCTAAAGCAAATACAGTGTCATCTTAGGGAGGAAAGGGAATTCTGGAATCCATGAGAGCGCTGGGTTCTATTTTCCAGTTCTGCCACTGATAGGTGGTATGACTGTGGATAAATCACTAAACCTTTCCCTGACTCAGTTTCCAACTTGTCAAAAATAAGAGATCTAGTTGATTTTGGAAAAGCAATGGGGTATACTGGAGACAGTGCCGATCCCTTCTACCATTGGTAAGTTCCAGAAACCTTTACTTTGGAGAAGGGCCCCAAACCAACCATCCTTTATTCTCTGCAGCACTCTGCCCCAAGTACCTTAATCCCCTCCCCAACTTCTTACCCTCTTTATCTCTTCCCCCCTTTTATTCCCCTTTTATATACATCTATGTGTAATATTTTATGTGTAATAGAATGTCAGCACCTTGAGGGAAGGGACTGCCTTTCTCTTTGCTTGTATTTGCACCCCCAACTTCTAGCAGCAACTTAAAGCACTTCATTGGTAAAGCACTGGTATACAGTAAACACTTAATAAATGCTTGTTGAATGAATGAATGAACAAGTCCCACTTCTCATGTCCACTAATTTTGTGACAATGAGCAAGCCATTTTTTTCTCAGAGCCTTAGTTTCCTCACCTACAACATAAGGATAATAATATTTATAGCACCAGCCTCACAGGGTTGCTGAGAAGCAAAAATGAAATAATCCGTGTAAAACATTTGGCAACTCTAAAATTACTCTACAAGAATCGGCATTACTATTATTACTATAATCATTAGCGTTACTATTGTCATTGTTATTATTTTGTTCTCATTTTTATGCTTAAAGGAAGTCAGAGACAAACAGTTCTAGGACAAGCTGCTATCCTGTTATTCTTCTTTTATGTGTAATATTTATTGAGCTGGTGTCTAAAATAAAGGATTTTTGTCACTGAATAAATGACAGTGTTAGGAAGCATACTCATCTTCTACAAACTCACTAAAGATATCTTCAAGCTAACTCTAGGAACAGATGGAATCATAGACTCATAGCAGGAGGGGACCTCAGAGACAATCTCATCCAAACTCCCTCTCCCCATTTTTCAGATGAGGAAACTGAGGCTCTGAGAAAGAAGACTTTGCCCAGGGTCTCAGACCTATAAGTGGGAGTGCCAAGATTTGAACCCAAGTCCTCTGACCCAGAGCCACACACGTTCCACTGTTCCATGCTGCCTACTCTTCTGTGCCCTGGTACCAGGAATGATGATTGATGAGTAACAATGAGGGCACCACTCTCTTCACACTCAAAACAAAAGTTAAGAGAATTCTGGAGAAAGCCTCTCACTGCTATCACAGCTCTCCCTCTTTTCCTCCCTCTCCATGGACAAAACATGAGGTTTCATTTCAGAGAAGGGGAATTTGAATCCTCGCTCAGATATTTACTACCTCAATGGCTTAGTGCAAGTCACTGTTCCCTCTTTGTGCCCCAGAATGCTCAGGGGCTGAACAAGGGCACTTCTAAGGGCCCTTCCAGCACTAAATCCCACTATTATCCCATGATTCCCAGTCCCCCATCATCCCTCTCACCACCCTCAACTCTATGCAGCATGCCAAGGCATTCTAAGGCACAGACATAAATCCTGTTACAGCAGCCTTTGAGGTGTAGAGAGACTCACAAAAGAAGGGGGCCCATCTCTCACTGAAGAGCTACCTCTTTGGCCATTAGCCAAAAGGGGAGAGAGTCTGACCAGAAAGTGTTCTTGAGAAATGTTGTCAGGAATCTGTAATTTTAAGTTCGATCAAAACAAATGGACACAGGCAGTATTAAAATTCCCTTCCAGTTCTAAAATTCTCAGATTCTGTGTCACTCCCCTGCTCCAAAACCATCAATGGCGCCCCAATGCCTACGAGATAAAGTCTGCTCCTTTCACTCTGCATTCAAAGCCCTCCCCAATCTGGGGGCCCTTTCTGTCTTTCCAGTCTTGGCTTCCACTACTGTCAGAGTCCAAAAGCAACTGTATTTCAGGATGGTGCAGTGGCTAGAACACCGGGCCTGCAGTCAGGACGACCTCATATCTGACCTCAAACACTCACTAGCTGTGCCCTGGGGCAAGTCACTTTTGCTTCAGTTTCTTTGTCTGTCAAATATGGATAATAATAATACTGACCTCCCAGGGTTGTTAAAAGGCTCAAACAAGATAATGTTATTAAAGTACTTAGCACAGTGCTTGACATGTAGTAGGTACTATATAAATGTTAGCTAGCATTATTTTCATTATCACCATCAGGGTCTTGCAACCTGTAATCAGGCATGCCCAAAAGGATAAGGAAAGGACTAGCATGGAGTGTCAAGGGAAGACTTATCATTGCCTAGCCCTTTGGTACATTCTGAACATAAGACCTCAAGCATTTTATAGCATGAGCCAATGCAGGAGACTTTCCCTGGGGAGACACATAACAAAGAGAAACACAAATGTAGACACACAGGAAAAGCCACCCAGATACCCCACAGCTATACTGCTCTGCCACGAAAAAAAGGCCCCATTTGTCTTTCTTACTCTCCTATCAATATGATCACTTTTCTAGTTTTAGCAACATCATCCCAGAAACCTGGACCATCCCCCCTGTTAGAAGCTTCCTGCAGGCAGCATAACCAATACTTGTTAGGACTAAGGCAGCAGCTTCTACCTTCCTGCTCACACAGTCCATTTACCCTACCTCCCTGACTGTGGAAATAGCTACTCCGCAGCATGTTTCCTCCACTCCAGTCAAACCAATCTCCTTCGTGATCAATTCAACCAACTAAAAATGGATAGTGCACCTAATATATGCAAGGCTCCGCGCTAAGTAACGAAGACATCTTGCATATTCTAACTTCTGTTCCTCAGTTCAGGATGTTCCTGTGGTCTGCAATAGCCTTCCTGCTTCTCTAGTCAAAATTGATTCAAGTCAACCTGATGAATATTTATTAAGCAATTGCTATATGCAAAACAGTATGTTGAGTGCTGAGGATACCCAGCCAATATCAATGATCCCTCCCCTCTAGAAGCCTGCATTCCACTGGGGAGATTGATAGAACACGTATACAAAGAAGCAAAAACAAAATAATACTAAGTAATTGAAAGAGAGAAAGAATACTAAAAAAAAAAACTGGGAGAGGAGAGGGGGGAATAGGAATAAAGAAAAGGCTGATGTAGAAAATGGTAGCCAAGAGCTGTTTTTTGAAGGAAGCAATAGGCTTCTGAGACAGAGTAAGAAGGGAGTACATTCCAGGTACCAAGGACAGCAGCATAAAAGTATGCACACAGGGGATGGAAGGTCACATGTAGGGAACACCTAATGGACCAGTTTGATTGGAATAGAAGGTGAGTGAAGAGGAGTCTTATGAAAGGAAGGTAATGAAGAGCTTTAAATTCCAAATCTTTCCCATTCTTCAAGGCTTATCATAAAGTCATCTTTGCCTGCTCTAACCCACAGTGATCCCTCCTCCTTGTAAAACTTATCTACTGTGGTAACATACACTTTAGTGCCATGGATTATCCTCAAAATGTTTCCCATGTGCATATCTTATCTCCCCAGCTAGACTACCAGCACCTTGAAAGCCTGAATTATGAGTTATATTTCCTTTGTCTACCCAAAGTGCCTGGTACAGAGGATGGGCACAGAAGTCAGTGTCTGATAAGTATCTGCCTGATAATTAAGAATTGATTTCTATACTGCCCAACCGGGCCAAGCTTCTTACCTGAGAGTAAAGTGGTTTGCAGTAGAGTCACCAGCCAGGGACACAAAGAAGGTGACAGTGTCCCCTTCCCGGACAGGGTTGAGTGGCAGAGAGATCACAAGGTTGTCATCTAGCCTCACTAGGGACCGCTTCATCTGGTCCTGAGTTGGGTAGACTACTATGCTGCCAATCCTCTCCATAGGGGAAAACCCTTTATGAGCATTCTCTTGTCCTGAATGGATATTGTTCTCCCACTTGCCATCCTCTGGAGAACACTTGCCCCACTCATCAGCAGAGCACAGTTTGTAAAACAGTTCCACAGGGGTGCCTCCTGCTGCTGATTCAGCCTCAGCCTCTGCCTCAGGATCCAGGACTGAGACAGGGTCAAACCAATCGGGTAACAGCTCGAGCTCTGCAACACAAAGCCCCAGGTCCCCCTGCAGCCTACAGCTGGCCACCACCTCCCTAGCCTCTAGAATGGCAAACATCTTCACACATGGCAAGTCTTCCACTGGGTTGTTCTCCTCCCAGTCCATTCCTGTGACATAAAACAATGTCTGCACTTTAGGTCTGTTAGAATAGATGGAGCTGTCGAGGATGTGTGATTTTAGTTTCCAATTAAAAGTAAATTTCTCCGAGTGGCCAAAGGGTGCCAAGGTCAGCAGGAAGTCTCGGGGGATCACCTGCTCCACAGAAAAGGGGCCATAACTGGCATTCACGATGGGGGGCTCCTTGGCTCGATAGATGAAGAAGGACTCCACCCTGGACTGCAGACTGGAGTTCTTCATGAGGTCCTGGTTGGCCTCTTTCAGAAAGAAGGAGACCTCAGCATTGCAGATATGGTAGCTCATGGGGAGATAGGCAGGCAATGAGGAAAATCTCTGGAGACTGTCCATGATTCCCCGGCTCTCCATCACTATACAACCAAAAGAAAGAAATGAAAAAACAATTTCAAAGTTTAGTTTGATAAGTATTCTTCTTTATCTTCCCAGCATAAACTGGGACCATCCTGTGACTACCCACTCAATTTGTTTAATGCAATCCATCCCCAGCTCCATCCTGTAGACATTTTGCCCTCCCTTCTAACCCTCATTAAACATAGAGAAGCTTGGAACATCACTACATCTTCAAAGGCTTAACAAAAACAAATATTTATTAAGCATCTTCTATGTACATTGAAGGAGGAAATGACAAAACACTCCAGTATCTTTGCCAAGGAAGCCCCATGGACAGTATGGTCCACAGCGTCACAAAGAGTCAAACACAACTGAATGATTCAACAACAACTATGCACACAGCATATACTAGGCATCTACTATGTACACAGTACAGAGGGAAGATACAAAGTTTAGATAAGATAGAATTCCTGCCTTCAGGGAGCTTAGACTCTAGTAGGATAATTTTAAAAAAAAAACACAGATAACTATAATACACAGTGCAGAAAGGGACTGAACCTAGGATTGCCCTGGAATAAGAAAGTCCCTAATGGAAGAGTTCTCTCTGACAAGGCAAGTTGAAACCTTCTCTTCAACGTATATTCTCAGAATGTTAACTAGAGTACCAAAAGGCCAAGCGACTTGTCCAGTGTCACACTGAACAAGCCATTATATGTCACGGGTGATATTTAAACCCAGCTCTTCCTGGCTTTGAGGCCAGATCTCTATAGACTTCACCATACTTTTTTTTTTCTAAAGGCAATTGGGGTTAAATGACTTGCCCAGGGTCACACAGCTAATAAGTGTCAAGTGTTTAGTCTGAGGCCGGATTTGAACTCAGGTCCTCCTGACTTCAGGGCTGGTGCTGCATCCACTTTGCCACCTAGCTGCCCCCACACTTTCTCATAATAATATCCACTATTACATGATAAATGCATTAACGATTGAAAATCAATCAATAAGGATTTATTATTAAGCACCTACTATGTCTCAAATACTGTGCTAGGAGTGTTGGGCACAAAGACAATAATGAAACAGTCCCTGCCCTCAAAGAGCTTATATTCTCTTGAATGTAACAGTATGTAAAATAGGGGTTCCTAACCTTTCTTGTACCCTGAACCCCTTTGGCAGGCTGATGAAACCTACAAACCCTTTCTCAGAATCATGTTTTTAAAAATATAAAATAAAATGTGTGGAATTATAAAGGAAATCAATCATAATGAAATAGTTACCAAAATATTTAATGAAACAAGTTTTAATAAAACAAGATTGAGAATTCTTAGCAAAAAAGTAAATCATGTGTAAGAAGCCTGAAAACGTAGGCCAGAGCCAGGTTGGGAAGCACTTTAAATGCCGGTTTCTTTTTGATCTTGGAGGTAACTGGGAACCAGCAATTGAGTTGTGTGTTCAGGTCTGTGCTTTAGGAATATGATTTTGGCAGTGGTATAGAGGGGAGATATGACTGAGAGGATAGTGGTGACCTCAAGAGGAACAGGAACAGGAATATTAAAGATGATTTAGTTCAGCCCCCTCATTCGTCAGAAGAAGAAACCGAGACCCAGGAAGATAAGATGAAGCAACTGCCCAAGGTCACACAGGAAACATGTAACAAAACTGGGATTTGTGCCCACTTCCTCTGATTTAGCAAAGCAGGAGTGGGTTTCAGAAGAAACAAGGTACTATGGGAGCTGTGAAAGGGAAGGTGGTTGCCATCCGGGGAAACAGAGAAGGCTTATGGAAGAAGCCATGCCATTGAAGATGTGTTTCAAAGGCTGGGCAAGAAATAATTTGGTGAAGATGAGGAAGAACATTTCAGGCATGAGGAAAAGAGCTGGCTGGAATATGGTAGTATGAGAGGAGTCTAGAAAGGTAAGCTGGCACCAGACTGTGGGAGGCCTTGAATGCCAGAAAAAAAAAACCTTAACTTTGCTGTCAGGAAACAGTAAGGAGCCAGTGAAGAAAGTTTCCCAAGATCACACAGAGAGCCACTGAAGAGCTCTATTCAGCTCCAAGAGACCTCATTTCCAATATAACCCCTCCTGCTAATCCTCATTAAAACCAGAAAGCCTTTAAGCAATTAAGAGCAGAATAATTTTAAGTACTTTCTTCAAGGCCTTCTAAATCCACTCTGAAAAGGTCTGAAAGGAGAGAAACTCGGTTAATACTGATCAGAAGGTGATGGCCAAACATTTATGGAAAGCAAAAGGCATCTTAGCCATGGGCAGCCACCCTCCATAAAAGATGACAGTGGAATACCACCAACTCTCTCAACCTTGGCCTCCAATCCCCAATCCAGAGAAACATCATTATCAGCCTTAGTAATTCCACCATCAGAACCATAAGAGGTCAGGACAGCATCAGACACACACTGCCAATCAGTCCGCCCCTGCAAATGGCCTGTTAATATTTTATCACTTCGACATTTACGCTTACTTTTCATTACTCCTATATGTTATGTAAACATATGGTTTCTGCCAACTGAGGCATTGAGGAATCTTCCATAATTAAAATTAAATGAGGATGGGGACCCAAATGGGATTTATCAATGAAGAGATGACAGTGAACCAAGGTCTCAGGTGTAAAATTCAATAAAAGGAAATGCGTTCTTCTTTCTCCCAATGGCAAGTGCCAAGGCTGGATGAAAAGATGTCAGAGTTAGAAGGAACCTGGAGATCATCTGATCCAACATGGACCAAAGAGGAATCCCCTTTCCATCATATCCAATAAGTGGCTAGCCACTTGGCTTGAAGACCTCCACCACCTCCCCAAGGTGGCTGCCTTTTCGTCCTTTTTTTTTTGTCCATTTTGAAGCAGCTTAGGGACTATTCCTTGACCTCAAGCCTAATTTTGTGTTTTTGTAACTTCTACTCATTGCTCCTAATTCTGCCTAATTCTATCCCTCTGCCACAGGGCAGTCCTTTCAATACTGGAAGACAGCATCATTCCCCTCCCAAGTGTTTTCTGCTCTAGTACCTTCATCCCATCCTCAAATGGCCTGAACTCAACTAACTATCCTAGCTACCCTCCTCAGGACTCAATGTTCTCCCCAAACTGTGAAACTCTGAACTGAACACAGCGCTCCAGGTGTGAAGCAATCAGAATGGAGTACAGAAGGTCTGCTCACCCCCACGTTCCCTGAAGCTGTGCTTCTCTTAATGGAGGGGGAAGGGGAAGGAAACAAGCGTTTATACAGCACCTACTATGTGCCAGGCAGTGTGCTAAGAGTTTTTACAAATATCATCTTATTTAATAATGCAATCCAAGTTCTCATTAGTTTTCTTCACTGCCATATCACATCAGATAAGAAGTCCCAGGGTCATTGATTTAGAGTTCAAAGGGAAATCAGAAATCATCCAATCCAAATCCATCATTTTATAGGAAAAGAAACTAAGGCACTGAGAGATGGAATCATTGCCCAAGGTAACATCATAGTCAAGCTGAGATCTGCACCCAGGTCCTATTATTTAGCACAGTGGAAGAGACAAGAAAGGACACAAGCATTTATTAGGCCCTACTATGTGCCAGGCACCATGAAAAGTACTTTACAAATATAACCTCACTTGATCCTCACAACAGCCAAGAGGTAGTTGCTGTCCTTAGGCCCATTTTTTCCCGGCATTTGGGTTTTGGAATCAGAGGGACCTGGTATGTCACTTCCTGTGTGAATCTCTGAGCCTCAGTCTCTTCATCTGTAAAATTTGGGGAGTTGGACTGAATTACTTCCAAGTCTTTTCAGCTCTACAGCTAAGACCTTGGCTGCATATCCAGGATTTTCTCCACTAGAAGAGAGGATGTCAAGATTATAAACCTTATAGATCATAGGTTTAGAGCCGGAAGGGGCCTTGGAGGCCACCCAGCCCAACTTTCTCATTTTACAGAAAGGAAAACTGAGCCCAGGGAGGTAAGGATCACACAGTTAAGAAGTATCTGTGGATTCTTACTCAGATCTCCTTAACACCAAGTCCAGCACGCTCTTCCCTGCACCCCACTGTCTCTCACACTCTCTGGTATTACCCAACTTCTTCTAAAACACATTTAAACTTGTATTTACCAAGATGAAAACATGTAAAGTCTTGAGGTAGTTTTTTTTTTTTAACTATAGTGTGATTTGAAGATGGGACGAAAAATCAATCCCCGCCTGTGGACTCTGACACCCAGTGATATCTGTCCTACATTTAAAAAAATACTTCTACAAGGTATAATTTTGTGTTTATTTAAATCTCCTTTCAGATATCTGTCTTCAGCAAAACTTCTTCCCTAGTAGGAGAAGGAGGAAAGGAGGTGCAGATGTGAGGGTCAGAACCTGCTTTGTAATGCCAAAGCAGTCAGAATGGTATTCCCATATGGGACAAAGGGGAAGAGAATAAGCAAGTATTAAGCATCTACCATGTGGGTAGCAGCCATTGTGCTAAGAGCTTTTACAATAATTATCTCATTTGATCCTTACAACAACCCTGCAAGGGTAAAACTCTTATTAGCCCCCATTTTGTAATTGAGGCAACTGAGGCAAAGCGACTTGTCCAGAGTCCCATAGCTCGTAAATGTCGGAGGTGGAATTAGAACTCCCATTTTCCTGACTCCGGGCCCAGTGCTTTGCCCACTGCCACCATCCACTATTCTCTTCTTCACACGGGCACCAAGTATTGATGAGGCACCCCCTATATGCCTACTTCTGTGCTAATTTTGTCTTTTGGGGTTAGGGCAAAGGTAGGCAGAAGGAAAACACAGGAGGAGAAAGAGAGCTCAGGTAGAGAGGGGCCTTTGCAACTGTAAGATGGGGAGGCATGGCTGGGCACCAGGTTCATTTGGAAAAGACCAGGAACTAGACTGCCAGCTCATTAGGAATCAACAGTGTCATGTGACTGCCGAGAAAGCAAATGGGGTCTCAGGCTACTTAAAAGAGAGGTGATGTCCAGGATGAGGAAGGAGAGCATCTTACTGTACTCTCGTCTTCTCACTCCTCATCCACAATGTTGGGGTC